CACACCCCCTGTACCAAAACTTAAACTGCATTTCAACAGACACAATTCTGTTATACTGTATGTGAAGAGAGATAGATAAGACAGTCTGGACTGTTTTGTTTACTGTTTGATTTGAATCTTAATTTAAAAAATCATCATGATTTCTTTCTTCCTGTCTCCTGGCACAGCTATTTACAAGTTTACAAGATGGGTGTAAAATACTACCAGAACTGAATGGTAGAACTAATTGTGCATTCTCTGTTCATGGGTATAAGTTATACCACATGCAGACAGCCATTAAAGAAAGGCCCTTAAATATATGTTTGAATTTGTTCCTATCAGTCATACTAAGTCTTTAATAGGCACTGTGGTGATGAGGGCCTACATACAGAAAGAATTTGTAAGAGCTACTAATCCATGGGGAAGGGAAATTTGTGTTCTGTATCTGTACTGAACTGAAAGAACATATCCTTTATTCAAATACAGCTTCATCTCGGTCTACATCGCTATGAAGATCACTGGAAGTTTTAGGTACACAAGATTTTAGGACTTAGTTGGGGTTTGTAACAAATTTCCTCTAACATGGATATGAAAAATTATGCATGTATAAAAAGAAGTTAAGCAACTCTGTTTAAACAATCTTAAAAATCCTGATAGTGCTGACATAATCCATAACACATAGTCCTTCATTTTATTTGTTACATAACTATTTCTTTTTTCCTTCAAGCTCTCCTAAGCTTGACCATCACAAGAACATCTTTGCTCCAACATTTACTGCAAAATCACTGGTTATTTACTTAGGTTTTTGAACAGCCTACAAATCCCATTACTGTAGCAGATTCTTTTCCCTAAACAGCAGCGATGACAGCATATTAGGCTTTAGTCTCTGATGCGTGACATGATGTGCATTTCTTGCATTTCCTGAAGGTGGGTTAAGTGCTGAAAAGCAAAAGAATCCTCTTAATGACTAAAGAAATTCTAAAAGGCTGCTAAATGATTCAGTAGATGAGGGGTTTCTTGGGTCTAGTTTTTATATAATGAAGGGTGGTAGGTAGGAGAACAGTTAAAACAGAAAGGAAGGTTGTGAGTTTGACGTTATCTCGTGTAAAATGGATATTAATGGAAAATCCTTTTCTACCATCATAAATGTTCATTCTGTTCATTTCTCCCAGTATGATTGTTTGTATAGTGTTTGTGATTTCTTTTGGGCTATATTGGCTTACAGCACCACTGTATCTCAATATGGTTAAACCACACTTCTCTAGCATGGGATCCTGCTATATTAAAATGATATCCTTAATATGTGCTTGTGTTTGTTCTGTCCAGAGTTGCAGCACAATTTAGGACACAATTAAACACAGATGGAGCCAATTTCCCACTCTGCTACACTGATATACCTGTAGAACTCCTCTGCCAGGGAAAAATGGTGTGATAGTTAAGAATCAGTCCTGGTTAGGTTTAGTCTACATTACAAAATGACACCTGTGTTTAATTGACTTGGGGTCAGGGGCAGGTTTGTGGTAACAGGTACTCTCAAAACATGCTTGTCTATAGTATAAATGGGTCTACATAAATTTGTCCTTAAATGATAACTGAAATGCAGCTTAGTTCCTTAATAAAGGTAAAAATAATTTATTTGAAAAATGAATAAAGTGAGAAATAAATGGTCAGAATATTTTTGTATTTAAATAGATGCATTGTTTCACAAGGGATGGCCATGATGCCCTCTAGTGGCTCTTCAGCAAAATCTCAAATGCTCACAAGCCATGGTCTATCTGTTCACCACCTTAAGGGCAATTTCATGGCCTTCTCATTTCCCCTTTAAGCTATGCCTAACCCTCACAGATGGAACTGACTAAATATAATTGATTGACTGGTACATGAGCCCTCAGTCATAGTCTCAATCAATCTAATGTGACCTCAGCTCCAGTCCACATCACTCTCTCAGCCTCTCCCTGGGCTCCCTAGCCCAATTCATCTTGGGCTGTCTCTGAACCCCAGGGTCTCCACCCCCCTCTCTACCTTGCTCACAAGCTCTGGCCTTACTCCCAGCCTGTTGAGACCATCTCCTCCCCATAGTCCTCCCTAACCACCAATTGCTGAGATTTCCACCTCCCCTTAGTCCCACCCTAAACTGCTGGTGTTATCCCAGCCCTAAGGAAGTTACCCACAGGCTTTCTTGGTGTCTATCAGGAGTCTTTTGGTTTACTTGTTCAGGAGCTCCTCTTACATCCACTCCAGAGCCAGACTGCCTGCCTAGCACAGGAGCTGGGCTTATACACACTCTAAACGAGATCCCTTTCTGGTCAGGTGTCTTCCCTGATTACTGATTGAGCCCTCCCTGCATCCTTTTTCCTCTTAAAGTAATAGGAGTATTAAATTCCCTGTTAGAGCAGCCAACAGTGTAACTAAAGTGGAGCAAGTGGGGAGGGTGCTGCAGGCAGGAAAACAAACTGGCTGCTGCTGCACCACTTTACTAGCTGTGGCAGCAACCAGAAGTCCCAGCTGCTGCCCATATGTGTAAAAGCTGGGTGCCCAGCTGCGTTGCTATATCTCTGTTTCCTGTGTTTACGTTTGATTCTGCTGGAGACAAACTGCGGGCTGGTGAGATTTTTCAGGTGGTGATGAAATCTTCTCATTGAACACTCATTTTTTAAGGCATCTAGTTTTTGGCCTAAGGCTTTCTGTAGACTTCAGCTTCTACAGCTGTATATTAGCACTAAGATTATTTTGAGTTGAAATATTTCATTTTTGTGATGTTTCTTAGATAAACTATCTAGTTGACCTATTATCTTTTGTGTGAAGCAAGTTTTTTTTTAGTGATATCTTTTCCTGGACCAGCTGTATAGTTGGGGGAGATGTTAGACAAGCAAAGGGGCACAAAGTGCCTGTTAGGTCTGGAAAGAAGCAGATACTAAGTTAAATACCTGAAAGTCTTTTTATCTTGTTTTCTGTGGCATTTAACTTTGATTTTTCGTTCTTCTTTCTTGTCAAACATCCCTCCCAACCATACAGTTGATCCAGTAAAATAGAAAAAACCCTTGCACAACATATTTCTTGGACTGTCATGGCTACAACACTCTCACCCTACTACAAAATTTCCTGAGTACTTTTTGCAGATATGGTATTTATCTTCTGAGGATATCTTGACAATGATTCTGCTTCTGCTGGTCAAAAGTCACTTTTACTCAGACTTAATCAAACCGCTTGTTCACTGTCAGTCTGCAGGTGATATCAGTGTTTTTAATATTTCTGCTGATATACGCTAAAACGCAAATTGTTTAAATCAGTAATATTACCCTTGTTTGAGCCATATTCTCTGGGAGATGAAAACAGTAATTTTCAATACATTTGTCAGTTTGATTGCAAAGTAGCATTTTCTTCACCTGTCATAACTAATCATACAAGTTAGTAACTCTTATCCAGTCATTTGGGGTGCATGTAAATAGTTATGGTATTATCCTTCCACAAAAGCTTTATTACTTATTACAAATGGTAAATAAGTGTGATTAAAGCCACCATTCCTCACCATAATCACTACATATTGAAACAATAAAATGACTTATAATTTGTAGATTTAAAATTATACAAAATATAATACATACTATGGATATACATAGCTGGTGTTATAAATTAGCATAGCTCCTTTGATTTCAAGGGGGCTTAATGAGCTACTCTGTTCCCAGCCCTACCCCTTCTCTGCTCTGCTCTCTGCTGCTGTGCTGCCTGTCCCGTTCCTGGATCTGCTGGATGCCACACATAGAGGCTGCCTGTGCCATTTATGGCGCACATGCTGCAAGTTACCCACCCCTGGTCTAGATAACTTACAAAAGTTGACAGGTGACATTTGGGAGGAGGGGTTTAAACACCGGTAATGTTTAGTGTGGGGCGGACAAGTGTTTTGGGTGGAGGGCCTCTTACTGAGTTTTGGCAAGCCATCGAGGACTGCATCACAGGCGGCCAGGGGCAGAAAAATATTAATTTTCTAAATTTTTTAGGGGTGCTGTAGGCTGGATAGAATGGTTTGGCAGGCTGCGTCCGGCCTACAGGCTGCATTGTGCCCAGCCCTGGTTTAGCAGGTAGCATTTTCAAACTATGTATTTCAAAGCACTTAATGCAAATGGGTGTTAATATTGCCATGTTACAAATAGTTAACTAAAGCAGAGAAAATTTAAAGAATTGGCTTAAGTTATATATCAAGTCATTAATAAAGCCAAATAGGATTTGGTCCTTAGTGTCCTATTTCACTTTATATACCCAAATGGCAGTTTCCTGGCTGCATACATACTCCACAACAATTTGAGATCCTACTCCATGTGTTGCATGGACACGTAAGCACCCACACAGTTATTGAGCATGTGTAATGGGCTCTGATCTGCCCAAGAACTGCCTTGGGCAAGCATCAGCCACAAAACAGTTGCCAGACAGGTGTTTGACGTCAGACCAGGAGGAAGGCAGCATCCTCATTTTTTTTTAAGCTCAAAGGCTAACGGTTAGGGTTCTCATCCAGGAAGCGAGGCTGCCAGGTTTTAGCTCTCTTCCTTCTCCCCCATGCATCTCAGGATAGGCTTGAACCTATTTCTCTTTAACTTCCCATCACAGTGCTCCGGGAGTAGTCGCACAATAAATGTTGTGCGAATTCTCCGAAAGCAAGCACTCAAGCATCACGGTATCCTGGTTCACAATTTTGCATAGCACAGAAAAGGCCTTTATTTTGATAAATATATCAATTAAAACGCAGTCTGTTCCCAGACGTGCTATGCTCCATCACGTGTAGCAGTGCCCCTGTCGAGCAGGGGAAGGACTAGGAGCTGGAGCTGTGAGTTGCATCCCGGGCCCCGGCCCCGGCCCCAACCCCAGCCCCGCGCGCTGGGCTGATTTAGCGCCGGAGGCTCCTACCTTGAGCCCTACCCCAGGTCCCTCCCAGCCCCCGACCCGGCGGCGCAGCAGCAGTGCAGAGGCACCGCTCCAGCCCTGCCCCACTCATCCCGGCTCTGCAGCACCGCCAGGCTGAGGACTTTCCCCGCCCCGCCGCGAGTACGCAGGCGCGGCCAGCAGAGGCCGGAACCGAACGCTGGGGCCAGTGGAGCAGGGCCGGACTGGTTGGGGGAACGGACTGCTGTCCACTTCCGGTGCTGTGGAGTTGGCGCACGTGCTGCCCCTGCCCGGTCTTATTTTCCCCGCCGGTGGGCTCGCCATGGTGGGTGCCTGGAGCGCGGGTGGGGGGCAGCACGGATCTTTTGGTTCCGGCTGTAGTGAGGCGCGAGAGGAGCCCTGGGCTGGGGAGTAGGTTGCAGGGGGGGGACTACCCTGGGGCTGCCTGTGGGGACACACGGGGGGTCCCTGTGTTGGTCTCGGCCCCCTGGCACGCTTCACGTCACCGACATGTCGCTGCCGCGTGGGGCTGGAGCTGTGACGTGCGGGGGGCAGTGCTGAGGGTCCGGGCAGATCTGCCCCCTGTAGAGCCCTGGGTTCTAGCGGGGTCCCGCAGCCTCTGGGCACCACAGGGTGGGCATCAGACCCCTATATTTCAGCCTGGAATCTGAAGCGACACAACATGTCGCCTGTCTTCCCTGTTCCTCTGCCAGACAAGGGTGGTGCATTGTGGGTTTAGCTCCTGGTGTGCGTTTCCCAAGGGGCCTCGGGCCCAACAGGTTTGAGGACCCCTGTTAAGGACCAACTGAGTTGGAGTGCGTCAGCAGGCCCAGGTGGCAGTTATCATTGCCTGATGTGGCAGGGGCTTCATTTGGTGGAGGAAGCTGCTGCTTGTCGAAGCTGATGCACCTCTGATTTCCTTAGTCCATCAAGCGCATGTCTGGCTGCCCGGCCTGCTGCAATCATGGGGTTGGAAGGGGCCTTGCGTGTCATTGAGTCCAACCCCCTGCATGACTGGGGGAGTGCTGGACCTAAATCATCCCTGATGAGTGTTTCTCCAGCCTTCTGGAAACCTCCAGTGAAGGAGAGGCTACAGCTTCCCTTGGTGGTTTATTCCACTCTCACCTATTCTGCCTGTAAGGAAGTCTTTCCCCAGAGCTGATCTAAATCTGTCTGGTTGCGGTTTAAATGTGCTGTTTACTACATATGCTGGCCCGGAACAGACTATGCTGGTTAATGTTCTAAAATTGTTAAGATCTGTGTTTCATGATGTGTTATACTCCTTCCAGTCGGGATCATGAAAACAGTTGTCTTCAGTTATTTGCAATAAGAACTGATGCGTCTGTAGAAAGTAGTGCTCTACCTTTTGGCCCTGTGGGCAGGATGAATGGTGCGAAACTTATTTGCAGGCCAGACCAGGCCCTGGGGCCCAGCACCATCCCCTCTGTGCCCCTGTGCACTGGGATTGGGTCCTGATGGCCTGGCACCAACCAACTCTCTCTCATGCAGGTGGACTTGTCTTGGATCTGAGTATCAGCCTGGGGCAGGTGCTAGCTTAGTTCCAATTTTGGTCTCAGGCCCCGGGGCTGAAATTACACCTGCCCTGGGCTGGAATAGCTTGTTTGGCAGGAGAGGGGGCGTGCGGCTGAGGGGAAAACCGGTGGTGGGGGGGGGATCTGCAGTTTGCACCCTCATCCCTTGCCCCCCTACTGTTATGTGTCTGCCCTCTACTCCTTCCCCTGTTACAGTCTGCTCTGGCTCTGGTCCCTGCTAATGTTGCTTCTCCCTGGCCAGGCTGCAGCAGGCGATGGGCAGGGAGAAGGCACAAGCATTGGGGCAGGGGGTGGAGAAGCAAGCTGCAGGAGGGAGCAGGGGTTGGGGGAAGCAGAGACCAGCCTGGGTGGGGGCCGAGCTGGGGTGATGCTCTTGAAAGGCAGAGCGGTGGTAGGGCGGGGCACGGGGCAGGGGAGCAGTAGTTGTGGGGGGACAAATTTAAGACTACCTTCCACTAATAGATCCAGTATATGGAAATTTATAACAAATGTATTAAACTGGGGGGTGGGGTGGGAGGAGAGGTCTTAAATTCAAAGTTGTCTTGGATTCAGATAAATACAGTATTTATAAGAGATCAAACAAGGAAATGACAAAGGAGCTTCTGTGCAAAAAAATAAGCAGTAAAATATTTAGTTGGCAACGTTAATAACTTTCATAGCTATCTGTAACAGAATTGGAAGGGTTTTTTCTGTTGATTAAGCTGATTTTCCTACGCTATTTATTTTCCAGTAATAA